AGTGCGCGCCCACTTGGAGAAAGGAGTTTGAGAATATACAGGGTGAGTCAAAAAAACTGACACCTTTGAAATTCAAATTAGCCGCGAATTTATGGCTGGAATTTGACAATTCCCATTGTGTACAATCAACAAGACGTCGTTAATTAATGCGAAAATGTTTAAACCAATTGAACTAATTCAACGTTCTTTTTTATTACAGAGCTTAGAATGTATTTTAACTCCCAAAGGGAACAAACTTTATATTCAAGGTTAATTAATGGCCATGTGTTCACTTATTTGATATGCTTCGTATACCCATGAGATATTTAGGCAACTTCTGTCACAATACATCCGATTACAGACACATACATTGCAGCTAACTAGAAATACATGCATGCAGCAACACCTCGCCTCGGTTAAACGAAATTAGTTAATGATTAGTTTTATGTGGTTTGGGGGTTTTGGAGGGTACATGGTATCTGATGGTATGTTAGAAATAGAATTGAGAAAAGTATGGAAATATTTTTCTGCACGTGGAAACACTGTAGTCATAGCAACTCGCAACGGCCGTATATTTTTTAAAAAGAATCAAAGTTTACCCTCATATTTTTGTGAAAAAATGGCAAAAATACGACACGATTCTTACCTTTTTCTGGAAGTTAAGTTACTCATCTATTATCAGTGTTATGGTAAATTATTTTAATTAATAAATGCCATGAAATATAACATCAGACGTCTCATACAACGCTTCGACTGGTTTTTGTACGGGAATGTTTTGATTTTGTTTTCTTTTTGTCACTATGAAAACGAAGTTTATAAATACAATTATAATGTCGTTTACAACATAACAATTCAGATTTATAGTGAAAACATTGAGCATATTAAAGTTGAGTTTGCCACAAAAGTTACTTTTTAAAGCTGTGCCGGTCTGCCGGATGAATATTATCAACTGTAAAATCTTCCGACTTCATTATACACGGTGAATTCGGTCGAAAATTTGATCTTGTTATTTGTTAAATCGTGAAAAGTCCTGACATCATTCGAGTTTCCCTCTAATTTAGTAAAAATACATATATTCCATATATATAAAATATAAATTTGTAAATTTCATCAAAATTTTGCGAAATGACAGCTATTCATTGACGTTTGAAAATACAAATTTTTGTCTCGACCAATCAAGAGCTTAGTAGTTCACACTGGCGCATGCGTAAAACGTAGAAGACCGTCCATGGCGTGAGGTCCATTGCATAATGGCGGACGACTTTGATTTCAAATTTGCATATCATGGGTATAAATATCCGGGCGGAATTAGTACCCTCGCACTGTGCTCCGCACCGGCTCGAGGTTAATTTTGAATTTCAAAGGTGTCAGTTTTTTACTCACCCTGTATTTCTGTTCACCTGATCGATAATCCCTATGTTCACCTGAGCAAAAATTATACCAACTGGAACGACATGTTTTATTTGTGTGTAGAAGTGCCTTAATTTCGCCTGAATTAAGTTTTGATGGATCCCAAATCCTTATTCGCATCGTCCTACGGCAAAAGATTTGTAATACATTCATTCATAAATTTCTTCGGTAAAATTTGAATCGAAATGGCTTAAGTAGTAACAAAAGAATCGTTTGAGTTGATCTTGAATCCTAACATGCACTGCATTTCAAAACAAATTCGCGGCAGTATTTTGTAGTTGCATGTTTGCTTATAATTGTAACCAAATTCGTGCAGGGGGTGATAAAAATATGGATCCCACTAACGAAATTTCTCGTCTCTGTACAAACCTTAATAATGCGAGCGTATTTCCTTTGTGTAAAGTGGAAGTCGAGTCCGTATACAAGTAAACTGTTTCTTTATATCTGTATATATTTTAATTTTTTACAATAAACTCAACGTTAAATAAGTAGCAATTACCCTGATCTTATTTATCTCCAGCCTGGTAAACAATGTATAAATTATTTTGTACACATATTAAATCATATGGTGCATTCATATTTTAGGCGACAAGGCGTTGAAAAGGGAACTTCTAGAATGCGAAATTCATGGTGGTGTATGTGTTCTAACGCCACAGGATACTTACGTTGACTGTCCTGATGACTACTACCCCTGCGCCATATATTGTCCTCCTAATTACGTGTGCTGTTGGTAGGTATTATTTCGTATGCTAGGAATGTATTTTCTACAAAGAAACTTTTTTCTAATTTTGTGATGCTCGCAACTATTTGAAGAGAAGTTCAACGAATTATAAAGTGTGTATTATCATGACGTGCGAGGTTGCTAACTCTACTCTAGGCTTGGCGTTTGCTGATTTCATGCTGTCGCCATGGACGGCTTCGTTGTGCCCGTGCATGGTATAATAAGCCATGCATGGCTCAATTGTGAGCCAACTATAACTCATCCGCTTGATTCACATCTTATTTTACGGCACATACGTAGTTGAAATTTTTCTCTTGCATCTATGTCTTTCTGTGTCTTTAATTTTATTGTCGCATGCAGAGTATAATTCACGTATACTCTTCATATTTTATAATGCAACCTGTACATAAAACTTTGGAGATATGAAACAATATTCTTTATTAATTTTTTAGCCCACCGTTGAAGTAAACGTGGAAATTGTTCGTTCTTGCACGGGGAGTTGGAATTAAAGGGGTGTAATCGGTGTTATTTTGAAAATTGTTTGGAAACAAATATTTGTTAGCTATATGTGAGTGAATAAATGGATTGTTGAATATGTATACCGTCACAATGATTGTTGATTTAGATATACTATTTACAAGGGAGGCTTGCAACAGCATCTGCGCGTTTGTTCATCAGGGAAAGTAACTTGATTAATGATTACCCAAACTTCGGATGTTTACGGTTTTTCTAAGAACATAAACCATTGGTCATATTTTTGAGATCCTGCGCAAGCGCTGAGAAAAGGCATTAGAATTTCACATGCGAGGAGGCTAACGAGTTTGCATGCATGTTGTTGAATGAAACATATGCGCAGTTAACAACTGGCAACAACAATAACAGCAAAGCAACGCTATACAAATTTATAATCTCCGAGCAGGCGCTGAGCGCCGTGCGAGGGTACAAATCCCGCCCGGAGATTAGGAATTACACCCGGGTATTCTGACAGAACATAGGCGAATCTAAAGTTGCCCAAATGTCATGAACGTTTAATGGTCATGGTAGTTGTGCGCATGCGCGAAATTTGAACAAAGAAAGTACGGCCGTCTACAACTTGCTGATTGGCTAAGACAAAAAGAGAGCATGCATTAAAGCGTCGGCATTTTAACCGTCATTTTGCAAACTATTTTTAAAAATATAAAATGAAATCACGGAGTCAAATATTAAAACAATAATAAAAGATTTAAAGATCATCAGAGCACAGAAACAGTTGGTGAAATTGGAACGATTCGTAGTTTATAATCTTTGAAGTGGTATAGGTGTTTATATTTTGCTTATTCAGTGTTTGCTGTAAGAAATAATGCATTTTTTTTTACAAGTACGAGCTTGGTATGTCATTTTACAAGGAGCTAACCGACCGTTTAAGGCTTTACATCATCGCTGAAACTTTAAAAAGAGTTCTCAAAAGTATACTTCAGATTTTCGATAAAACAAATATCACTTTGTAGCTTATATAGTCCCTAAAATCATTGAATAAAATAAATAATTAAAAACAACATTAGACGTTTAGTGCTTGTATGGTTGAAGGTTTAGCTATACAAAAGTTTAACACTCACTGCAACGTAATGCAGCAGGCAAACGGGTGATTTCCCTTCATTTTAACGAGTTGCCTTTGTTTCTGAAAAATTTGCACGAGTTATTTCATAATATTAGCGTAGAAAGTTAGGTCTGGGTAGCGCACGAAATACTTTGCTTCGTTTAAAATGGCGAGGGGTTGCTGCATGCATGTGTTTCTAGTATAAATTATTATATGGCACGCGGTCTAGCTTGTGACTAAATGGCGTCCGTTGATTGGTTCTTTGCCGGTCTGGAATCCCCCAGTGTTAGACCGTTGCCGTTGTAACGGTCCAACTCTCATATTTCTTAACAAAAACAAGCTTGCAATGTAGCGGAATAGCGAATAGTACGACCAACAGTCAAGTTTCGTATACCTTCATTTACATTGCGAATTGTCGTTAAAAATCGTTCCGTGTAACATCAGCTTTATGTTCTTATACAATTGTGGACATATGCATACATATACATACAACTGTGGACATATACATATATTTTGTTATTTGGTAGCTACATGTGAATATTATATTTTTTCATCTTTGATTTTGTTTATATAACTTTATCATTCTAATTTAACGAGTAAAAAACAAGGTTTTCGAAGCCACTTCAGTGCTTGCTTGGCGACTGGCCGGCGAAAGAGCCGGCAAGAATGATGCAGCGCATTGTATAAATAAATAAACTAAATACTGTATTACATGCCATATATAATAAATCCCTTATTAACCGTATACGTTCTATCCGTACTGGAAAAATATCAGACCTCGGTCTTTTATACGGACCTCGCTATCGCTCGGTCCGCACTGTCGAGACCTCGGTCTGATATTTTTCTAGTACGGACCTCAAATGATTGGTCGAGAAGCGAGTTTTTAGCCTTTCTCTTTTTAATTTCTCTTCTAATTTCTTGTTTGTCTCAAGTGTAAATAAATGCCTTATGCCATATAATAAACTTTTTATTAACCTCGCTTGCTCTGACTGTCATTACCGAGAAATATCGGACCTCGATCTTTTTGTACAAACCTCGCTCTTGGAGCTCGGTCTGTACAAAAATACCTTGGTCCAATATTTCTCGGTAAAGACCTCGCGCTCGGTTAATAATAAGTTAATAATTAATGCCTTGCTAACTAATATTACTGATCTTAAACTTGAACGCGACAAAATCATTTTCATTCGTAATTCCGCTATAATAACAATCATATACGTTCTATTTAGATAGATAGAAAGATACATAGATTGTTTAATAATTCACACACATTGCAGTTACATAGGACTGAATTATAAGTGGTGATTACAGGTGAGAGTAAGCTAAAAATTATGTTTATATTCACAATAATTGAGCTAGTATAGCTATAAAAAATTACAGTATAGTATAGTATATAGATTATAAAATTTAATTATTTATTTAGGCAACTGTTAACAATAAAAGAGTTTTTGAACCGGTCGGTAAAAAATTTAGTAGCAACCGTAGAACTCGAGTCTCAACGCAGGATAGCGATGCCATGATTCCGGCATTACACGGATGTACTGAGCTATTACATGTGTTTTGAATGTGTGTGTAGTTGAACTTGGACTGTTGCTCCATTGAAAAATCTAAAAAATGAAGATCAGTTTCGTTACCTAAACTCTAACAATTGAAAATTCCGAACTTCTTTTAAAAGTGCACAATGGATGACTTGCGCTTTAGACTAACTTTTGATCAAAGTAACTAGAGGAAAATAAATCAGCCCAGCTAGAAAGATCTTACTTAATTTAGTAAAACTGCCAAGTTTGGCTGCGAAATTTTGTAAAATACGGAAAATATAGCCATGGGAAGTTGGCAAATTTTGTATACTTTTGTATTACGTGCAGAAATGTGTAACTAATTTAGTTACAAACTTCCGGTCGTAATACAAAAGTATACAAAAATTGACAACTTCGCATGGGTATATTTTCCGTATTTTACAACAATTCGCAGTCAAACTTGGCAGTTTTACTTATTTTAGTAAGCTCTTTCAGAAAATGTCAACTCAAATGTCATTCAACAACCTTAAATTTAGTTTTTAAGTCTGCAATCAGTTCGTTCATATTCTAATTCTATAGTAACTGAAAGTTGCAATCTTCGAAAAAAGTCGCCAAATTAGCAAAACACTTAACAAAAGAATATTGGAAACTTTTAAATAATTTTTGAAAATATTTGGACAGAAGCAATACATATCATTTTACTAAAAAAACTATATTGAATAATTATAATCGTTTTGTTCGTCACACGTGAATCTAATTGAATGATTAAAAAGATTGTTACCTTAGATAGAAATAATTACCTTCATACTTCCTGACTCGTAATAAATATTCCAATTTTCACCATCATTGCTGTATGAAAACGAGGAGGATTTCGCATATCCCCCGTCAAAGCATTGGCCTTGAGTTGTCATTCCGGTCACAGTTGTCATTTTTCTCAGATTAACTTGAATCCACGAGCCTTGCATTGCTGTATTTATTGGCGACCAAGCACAATGAGTACCACCTGTCTTATCCAATCTTGCAAAGTATGGTTTGTAGTCATAGCGAAAAAACGATGATGCTGTGACTGCTGAATCAGGAATGGTGCCACTTTGCATTCCCAATGGCTTCGGGTTCGTGCATAAACCTGCATGTATGAAGCAACAATATTTTAGCTTTAATCTTTCATAATTATACACTGTTAATTACATTTACAATCGCACATTTAAGGACCCTATGAGGCCTTTTTTGTATATACCTGGAATAACTATTAGCAGAAAGTAACGTCTTTTTAACGAAAGATTTTAAAGTTTGTTATTGTCGGATTCGGTAATTAAATGTGTGTTTTTATTAATTTACCGTAGGCATGCCGCTATAGTGGTAGGGATTCAAGTCGCTTTCGCACTTTATCCTCAGAGTTATTTACTTCACCTAGTGCGAAAAGCAAACGTATTCTTGGCATCATGCAAATGCGGTATAACAACTGCTAATTAAATTATGCCGAGAAGACCTTCATTTCTCGACCCAAGGGTCAGGAGAGTTATGATGAAAAAAATAATAGAGAACACGTGCTCAGTATTGCACAACAAAACGCGTGATTATGGGCTAATAGAAAACAGACCAAAAATGAAGGCAAATTGGAATACTTTACGTGAAATGCCAAAAAATAGCGTAGTAGTATTGTGATAGTGCCCCCCGCACGCTACGCTCCTGCACCCACAGCTTAGAGATGACGTGTTGTTAACATCAAAGCAGGTTCTAATAGTTCTAATATATTTCTTTTGCCAGATAAGCCTTCCTATATTGCGGGCTAGTATTACGTATTTACGTAATGTATTCCAATTTGCTTTAATTTTTTGTTTTCTATTAGCGATTATCACCCGTTTTGCGCCATACTAGCACCCCCCGTGCTACACACGGTTGTCGGACTCTGAACAATTTTGTTGTAGAGAGCTGCGAACCAATGTGTCCAGGATATTTTTGGAGCCGAAATAACAGTTCAGGAATCAGTCAAAGAGCATGTCTTGCATTGGCCAATGCCACAAGGGAATGTATTTTGGGCTCTGTTCTCTAAGCCCACTGACTCACATAGCTACAACTTATAGCTGTATCTATTTTTCGCAATTTCTTCGTCTTTGCCACCATTAGGATGAGGAGGTCTGGAGATGAAAACATTCTTTGTGAGCGCAGCTACCCATCTTCACTTATTGACACTGTCTTATCTGCAAGGTCTTACACATTTCCCGCTTATACACCTTAAGAGACCATGTCCCCTTAGAGACCCATAGACTTTATCCAACCCCATTGTTCTCACACAACAGGAATGTTATACTTAGGAATTTTCACATCCTGCATAATGGTTTTTGTGGCACAATTTTTCTCCGATAACCCTCTATTATCTTTTCGGCACTACCAAAATATCCGGGACACATTGGTTCTCAGCTCTGCACAGAACGGTGGCACTTTCCACTTTGACCGTTTTAATTTTGTATGAACTGCTATTTCGGCTCCAAATTCAGAGATTTTTAAAGTCACGATTTCACACGCCTCTCCCTAACCTCACCTTTTGCAACTCATGCACTATTATAAATGTGGTTTACTATATATCGGCGAAACTGGAAGATCGTTTCACACACACCACATAAGAATTACTATGTCGCGAAGCGTTTGAAGACGCTGCCTCATTACCCCCTGATTATACTGCAACATGCATAAATGTATCCCGTAAAAGACGTAACTTACCTAAGGTTGAATGAGAACAGATTTCGTTCAAGCACAAATCATCTTTGCAAATCCTAGGCTGAAAGAAAAAAACAGCTGGTCTGAGAGCAAATTGCGTAGTCAAGTGAATTATCATTTCTTTCATTATATAAAACCTCGGCATGCATCTTGATGAATGATTGATCTTGAGCAATTCATTTATTCCTATAATTTTATGCTGAATTCCGTTTGTTTTTATAAAAGTAATGAAAAGAAGAAATTCAATTTTTCGTCTTTATGCTACTAGTAGGGGCAACGGAGACAAATAGCTGCTGTGTCCTCTCACGTGATAATCCAACGTTGCCGAGCCGCTCTATGACGTAATCATCTCAGGTCGGCTGAGAAAAAAATCTATACTTGTTGTAGAGCAGACACGTTTTATCTAACAAAAGCAATGTCATGAATTTTGTTTGAATTTACGTCGAATCCACTTATGAATAAAAGCATAATTATCACTCCTGCATGTGTCAATGTGAATACAAGGTATAAGGTTACAGTGGTAGTTTACGCTATTTTGGGTCGAAGGGAGTATCATTTAAATTGTGAAACAAATACTTTCCTTGGCAGATTAAAAAAAAATCGAAAAAAATGCATTAACTTGAAGCTGTGGAAAAGCTGTCTGTGAGAACACAAAAACTTTCTGTTATTGGTTATATGCAAATGTGCCAAATTTTAGCGTTTGGTTTGTAACCAAAGAGTATGTTACAATTCTGAATTTGAGCTGAATTTTACAGTAAAAACATGTTTAATGTTAAAATTAAATAATTAATTAAAAATATTACTATCATTATACTTGCAGATGAACACCTGTTTATGTTATCAAAAAAAATGTATTTGACAATGTGTCGACTTCCGATGCCGATATTATTAATCATAATAATAGTTATTCTCATATACCGATCATTTGGTGGAGGGGCATATGTGACCTTCCACGGGAAAACATACGTTAACGCTATTTCGTTCGTTCGAAAATATCGTTCGTTATCCGTTCGTTTGCCGTTCAAACGCTTGAAGCGTTCGTTGAAACGATTTTCGAGATCGTTCATCGTTCGAAATTGCCCGTTCGAATGCTTAGGAAAAAACGTTTGAAAATTGGTCCAAAAGCGTTCAACCGTTTGATTTACCGTTCGTTGAAACGTTTGCCGGAATTTCGTTCAATCGCATTGGATTTGGTTCAACATATTAGATTAAACATTTGCAATGTTACAACTTTGTAGAAGAAAGCGCAGAATGTGCTACACAGAAATACTCCCAGAAACGCATTTAGTTCCTTAGTAGAAGGCTTGTAAAGGAAATATCCCTTTAGCCTAATCGCGAATGCTATTTTGTGCGCTTCATGTTATGGTTCATGCTTAGCGTCATGATCATGCAGACATGAAGGCTATTAACATTCAGTGCATGCAATTATTTCATTAGCGTCAAATTTCACGTCGTAAGCTTTCTTTCAAAAATTTATCGTCTTTTGAATTTCGGTAATGCACTAAATGGTTAGAATTTGTGCTTTACTATACTTCTGTAGCTTCCATAAGCCAAATTTCACCGCGCGCACAAACAACGTCGCAAGCAATATATTAGCATTTACGAGCCATAATATGCCTTGGCAAGGTGCTAATTAGGTTGCATAATTGTCGGAAGTCTCTAAATGTATGTAAACAGACAAAACCAGATTTTAAAATGAATTGAGGGATTTTGCGTGTTACATATTAATATCGTACTTTTGAACCATGTGTATTTAGCTAATTTATTTACATCTGATAAACTTATCTAGCTGGGCCTCCGACGAAGCAGCTACTGATTAAAAACTATTCAAAATTAAGGACCGCATCCTAGGACGGACATTTCAGCTTGAAATTCGTTGTTTTTAATGCAGTCTGACATAGCTACAAACACTGCATGAAAAGCGCCGTATTCCAAGGTATTCACATGTGAATACGGGTGTGAATAAAACACATATTGCAAGCGTATTCCGACATGGAATATTAGTGTGAATACGGCATCGTATTCTTCAGTATTCTAAGTGTGAATACGCCGTGAATATGCCGCGTATTCTGACCAATATTCACACTTGGAATATCTCACTTCTCACTTAATCCGTGTTTCCACAAAATAAATTCATCAGCTGACATTTTTAAACTTTATTTTGAATGCTGAAAAATTGAAGTGGAATTTTATAAATAATTTGGCGCAAAAACCAAAAAGCGCGCTTTCGAGTTTAATAAACATTGAACGAGGAGATCGTGCGTTTGTGGCTGTAAGAAATCTTTTTGGCGCTTATAAATAAGGAAAGAGAGTGAAGGATGCCAAGGGCTTGGTAAAGTCTGGAAACTCTGGTCGCAGTTAAAGAGCATGCCGGCCAGTATTTGTATGCTACGATTCCCACGAAGTCTGATGAAGAAAATGCGCGAAATAGAAATGAGATTGCATGGCGCGATTTCCACAGCACCTTATGTTCGCTAATACGTGTAAAATGATAACGAATATTAACCGTATTTCAAGGATTTTTTATTGTTCAAAACCGAAAACGCATATACTGTTTGTGCGTAAGGGACCTCTTCGGTGAGTGACTAAATATCGTGCAGTTGAATTCAATAGCCGGCCTATAGACTATACCCTATGACCATGTTGGGAGTAATCTCAACATTTTATTAACAAATTACCTGGTGATAAGAGGTTAATGGGGTTAAATAATAAGAGGTTAAATAATTATCCACAGTTAATGTGGTTTATCAAGGTTGATCAAATGCAATACTAAGATTTCAGTCAATTATTTAAATTTTATACAGTCCTTAACAGATCATGTACATGTGATGGGTTACAACATTTCACATTTTATAAAATATTATTGGAACATCACAAATTGTTCAAAAATATGTAGCAAAAACACAGCCTATCATGAACTTCTACTAAGCTGTTATGATTTTCAATCTTTCATCAGCTGATTGTTAATTTATAAGCAATGTTGTTTTAGTATATATGAAACATTGCTCCTGGAGTATGTCAGAAATTATACTTAATAGTAAATTGTTGAGCAAAGCAAGTGATGTTTTTTCACTTGGTAAGATATTAAAAACTATAGGTGAGCAGATAATGAATCAGGAACTTCTTTCACTGGGTGAAAAATCCTCTTCATCTTTAGCAAAGTTAAGGCCAACTCTTTTGGGAATTTTCTCAATCTTGCAACCCCTGATGGCTAAAAACAATTAAAACCACCTTAAAGCAATTATTGATAGAATTTATGCAGTGTAATGAAATTATAATATTCCTAGGAGAATGTATATGTACAATGTACAATGTACACACCATTCATATAATTTGGAAGCTAATCAATTAGGGTAAAAATGGAAACAAATTCTTCCATGAACTTAAAGCTGTATATACACATAGCTACTCCTAGTATGCAAACATCGAGAAGCTGTAGTAAACTCATCTACACTTTAATGGTATATTCTTTAAGTATTGTGATTA